ACCAAATGGTTTTACGATACGGGCACATCGTCTAAACCTACTCCAATCACCATGTGGTGCGGTATTTGATACCATTACTACAGTCAGCTTCACAGCATACGATCGCCACACCTTCCCATTTATTAGTTAAGCTTTGCAATATCAAAATTTGTAAAATATAATTTTTTTTCAACATTCGTTGACCTCAGGATATTCCGATAGTTTTGACGTGCCTACAACGGTGTGACTAAAGGTTGTGCGTCGAGGCTAAAAGATTGCGGGTCGTGGCTAAAGCATTTCGGGTCTTGGCTAAAGCTTGATGGGAAAAGGTGTTGTTCAACTTCATGGTTCATTGCTACGATAGACAAGCTTTCATCTATTTTACTCCTCACCGAATTTGAAACCTCCCTCTTGTAATCATATTTCCTTCAGTCATGGAGATTAAGATTGGAAGATCGCCGTAACGGGGACACCAAAACAGAATCGGGCATGGGTAAAGCGCTTCTCGAGGGCTGTCATGAGGCGCTGTTGAACATCATCTCTGACGATCAACCTTATGCGGATCGGCCCACTCGATTAACTGCTGCGTTACATGAGGCCGAGGTGTTTGACTTAAATAATGCGTGTGCTTTGCCGTCCACTGTATCGGCAACACATTCCACCCGGGAAGACATATCGGAATCGATGAAACAAATTTTCTCATCCAATCCAGATTTTTGATTGCATGCTCTCACTGATTTGTCGAACCTTCTCCCTCCGCAACACGCATGAATAAAGGGTTCCCGATGGTTTTGATTTAAGCAATATATTGTACATATATATGTCTGTAAGGATCAATTCGGGCTTAAAATATCCTCAAATATACATATTTTCAGTGATAGATAATATTGACTTCATTCCTTTTTAATTGTGTTAAATGGAAGATTGAAGAAAACATGTTAGGCATTGATCGATCGCAGTAATATTATCATGCTTGATCGGATTGTTGAAAAACATGTGGATATGCGCCTCCGGAAGATCAAATTTCACTTGATGAGAAAGACTATATTCGGAATAAATCAAAAACTCGAACACATGCAAGAGCTTATTGCTGTGATAGCGGATAATATTCACAATAGTGAGCGTCGTAATTCACCTGTAATTGGCTCGGCGTAGCTGCAGTACTAAAGTTTCCGATATGCAGTAAGACGGACTCACAACGCTTTGATATTAACTGCTTTGTACAGAAATAAACTGTTAAATCTAGTTCTCGGATACTTTTCAGTCGAAAACACAAGCAGTTTGGATGTCAATGTTGCTACTTCACGTAAAGGAAAATGAAAAACGGTCTGGTCAGCTCCCCGTCTGCTTCTGCCCATGAGACCGGGTTAAATTTTCAGTTGGGTCAGTGGGTTTACACTTCTGATGAGGCCCAACCGGGTTGAAACAGCTGTACAGTGCCACTTCCTCTGCACTCGATGAAATTCCCCGTGCGATGTTATTTTTACTTGCTCATCGTATTTAACTTTATTACTTTTGTGAAGTACTTTTTGCTTTCGTATCTCCTTCGATACGTGGCGCCTACTTACTTTCATAGTTCCTCGTGTCCTTGTAGTGTCGTGACGATAAATAATCATGGGTAGCTATTTTGGGTGAAAACTGATAGCGATCACTGTGTTCTTTGTGGTATCAGGCAAGCAATAAATTGGAGCCATCTTCAAATGGAGTTTGAAGAAAACTATGCGCATGAATGCACTGTCTATCACACCTTTCCTGTTTGCCGATATCACTCCGACAGGTTATGAATGCATCCATGTGTGACCAACTATTGTCTCTTTCTTTCCTCTAAAGTAAAAGTGAGATTTGAACGATCGGTGTTGAATTGATCAACGGACATACCCATGATCACGAATGTATTGAACACACAGGATATCGTTGTCGGCTAGTTTTCACAGAGTGAAAAGTCCGACTGAAATGTAGACTTCATTACTCTAGAGTTTTGCTGCAAAACATCGGCAAATGATTATCCCTGTTAGGTAAAAAGACTATTTTTACCTAAAACTGTCTAATTTTCGAGTATTTTCAATTAGGGACATCTCGAATCAATACTAATCTCAGGACAGTTC